AGCACTGAAGAACAAGAAGAATAAATTTTTCGAGAAATCAGTTAGTGTGCAAGTCTGAAATTCAAAGCTCGAATAAATAATTAGTTAGCAAAGCAACTAACCTCTGCATCTATAAAAGACAGCAACTGGGCGTCTTTTATGAACATCCTAGCAATGGCACCAGCATTCTGGGGCAAATAATAAGCTGCAATGAGCAAAAAGGAACATGACCAAAAAAAAAAAAAAAAAAAAAAAAAAAGAAGAAGAAGGGTTGTGATTTAGGATATTTAAGAAATTCCACAAGAAAGGAAATAAAGGGATTATGATCATAAAAATCAGTTCGTAAATAATTACCAAGAGTCAAGCACTCGAGGGGCTTTTTAAGAAACTGTCCAAAAAGGTAAAGTGGTTCCTCCAACGATTTCAATTCCAAGGAATTCAAGGCATTGAAGATCTGCCCAACACATTAAACATATCAATGTCAGTCAAAACTGAATAAATTTAATACTCGAGAGATCGCTGCAAATCACCTTAATTAAAACAAACCTTCCAGCATTCACCATAGAACTTGAGAATTCCTTCCTTTTCATGTGGAAATTTATTCACGAGTTCTGCAACGAAGTCACTATATTCTCTGTGTACTCGGACTGAAAGATCATCGGGTAGGTGGAAATGAACAGTAGTTGGATCAGGTAGCACCTCCATCTTACATCCTACGGCTGCCAATGCTTGAGTAATCAAATTTAGATTTCCCTACAAAGATAAGATATGAAACATAACTGTATAATCAACAAAGCATGACAAACAAGATCAAGGCTTGCATTTCTATCATCAACTACTACTAGCATCCATTGCTTTATTGATAGTAGTTTATAAAAGAGATAACAGTTAAACTGAGAATAATAAATCCATCCTCCCTGTAGCATTAAGAGTAACAGAATAGACTATTTCTTCTCCTATCTGCTTTGTGTGTTATCTTTTCTAGATGGTAGGCTTAAACAGATTTTTGAGATTATAGATTATATAATCCACATTCACATTGAAACTTTGAAGTAATGGTTAAGTTTCCATTTAAACCAATGAGAACTAGCAAACACCATTGTTGAGACTAACAAGAACAAGAACCAAAAGTAACCATTTATTAGGATTTCTAAACAATCACAAAAGGAAAAAGAGATGATTGGAATCAACTAACCTTATCACTGAATCCAAACATCACAGATGATCCAACATCAAATGTGTAACCATCTCTCTGGTAATACCCAGAGCTCCCACCTGGAATCACATACTTCTCCAATACCAAAACCTTGGCTCCTTTCACCGCCAATTGCGTCGCCGCCACCAAACCACCAATTCCTGATCCTATAACAATGGCATCATAGTTCTCACCCTCTTCTACTTCTACACCAATATCCCCATCACTCTCCACTACTCTATCTGCACTAGCCACTGATTTCAACTGAGAAAAAATACCTCTTTTTCTTTGCTTGGCACAGTGCTCAGTTGTCAATGCGTCCAAGTAAAATTTTTTAGCTTTCTGATATCGAGGTTTATAATTATAATTATAACCACCCAAAGCTGCAACCTTGGAGTGAGTAAAAAGACGAGCACTGCTAAACCCAAAGCTCAAAGTACCCATTCCGAGCTTGAATTGCAATCTATTCAGAAAGGGATAAATTTTTTCCTTAATCGTTTCCAAGATTTCGCTTTGCAGGCACCCAGAGAGCTACGCCTTCTGAACTGCAAGCTATTAGGAAAGGGATAATTTTTCCTTAATCTTTTCAAAGGTTTTGCTTTGCAGGCGCCCAAAACAGTACTGGAAAATGGATTCTTGAATTCTCATAACATCTGTACTGCTGAGTTGAGGGCGGTGCAGTGGGATGGGTGGTGGCTTCTCGTAGTGGTCGGAAGCCAGAAATGGGAAGGGGGTGAAGTGGATTAGCATGATGATTCTTGGGCGATTATTCCTTGTTAACTGTGAAAGATGAGACAAATTCCTTTTTTTGTCGAAAACAAAAATTATACAAATTTCGTTATTTTATTGCCTTTCCAGTTGGGCAGTTAGGCCGGGCCTAACTCTTTAGTCTTTAGGTTCGCCCGGCCCGGCCCGCACTACAAAAGTAGTAGCCCAATTTCTGGTATAATTATGCCTTTAACAACTAATTTGGCCCGTGCCCAACTAATTTCTTACATTAGTTGGATATTTGAGTACCATTTATGACAATTGATAAGTAGGTTATTACCTGTACGGATTCACTGGTTCAGTTGATAGTATTTAAGAAAAATGATTAATGTTTGAACATTAATAGTAAAAGTAGGTACAAGTTTGTATTATGTAAAATCTGTCAGTTCAAATCAAGAAGATCAATTAGTTCTTTTTACTCGGAATGAAATATTTATGAACCATTCTCGTGTAATAACCAACACGTTTAAATGCATGATTTTTCTAAAAATAATTATTTTCTCTCATTTGACAATTTCTTTTTCTAAATTAAAATTTAGAGTGTTCAAGTATGATCATGCTCTTATGTAATAACCAGCAAATTTAAATACAAAGATTTTCACATACAATAGTCATGTTTTACACTTTTAATATTGAAGCAGGACTTCATCTCAATTGAAAGGTCTAAATTAATAGTTGGATTGCACATTAATAATTATATGATACACTTTCGCCAATTGACAGTTTCTTTTTCCGGGTTTAATTTGAATTGATACTCCTAAAAGGATATTCGATACGAAAGAACCAACTCTATGAGTTTTAACCGATTCCGGCAGGGTGATGGGTAGTGAGCGGCTCGCACCATACAAAAGAAGCGCCAAAGAATTTGGATCCACATAGCGACTATCTCTTTCTCTCTCCGATTTGTCTATGCAATCTCTTACGCTACCTAAATTGGGCAATCCTCCGCCACCTTTCTTCTTTCGCTGCTCTGCTCACGCACCTCATCGTCACTCCATTTCACTCTCTTTCCAGGTTAAACGCTCGCTCTTTACAATCGATTCCCGTGTTTGGTTTATGTGTTCAAGAAGCATTTGGGGATTCTTTTGGAAATTCTCTAAGTGATCGTTAAAGTTGGGATTTTTTTTTTTGAAGTCTGTGTCTAGTGCATACAGAGATGTGCAGTATTTGAACTCGACCGATCGGATCTAGATTTGATGTTCGTAGTTTGATTCTAGTTGAATTGAGTGTTTGGGTGTTTAGGTTTTTGTGAATTTGAGTCACCCTTTTTGTGGGTTGCTCTTGTTCCTTGGGAGATGGCATTGAAATGCTAAATTTCTGGATAAGTTGCTGAAGTAACCTGACAAGTTCCCTGACTACTTTTATAACTTTGGTAAAGTAGCTATAAATTTTGGATTTCTTATAACATATGTTAACAAAAAACCACAGGATCAAGAAACACATTTAGGACTTGAGATGAAAAGCCAAGGAATCGTACTGATATTATTTCATAAATTATTAACTTTAGGAGTTTCATGAACTGTTAGCTTTTGCCAAGGTTTGCGCTTGCTTCTCCTTCTCCCAATATAAGGTGGTGAGTTTGTCTAAGGGAAACATTAGTTCGCGTTTGTTGTTTAGACTAATCTTAACATTTCATGTACTCCTTGTTGCTCCGTAGCTGATGGTTTTGTGCTATTACTCTAAGTTATATTGCAGATCCATTTTGGTTCCTATTCTCAAGATGAATCTAAACTTAATTGCTCCGTTCTGCCCAGTCACAGTTGATTAGTTGTACTTGCTGGTACAAAATTCAGATAAACAGATCATTGGCTGTAATATCTTAAGCAATTGGCTTTTTTACCTTTTTTGCAGAGTGAAAATAACATTAGAGAAACCATGGATCGCCTAACCAGTGCTGCTCGTCTCATGATAGTTTCAGATCTTGATCACACAATGGTGGGTGCTTTATTCTTTTCTTTGTTTTTGTTTTGTTTTGTTTTACATGTTTCCTATTCTCGGCATGGTGCTTCGTAACATAATTGTGATTATGCTTTGCAGGTTGATCATCATGATCCCGAGAACCTTTCTCTGCTCAGGTTTAATGCCTTGTGGGAAGCCAATTACCGCAATAACTCTTTGCTGGTGTTCTCAACTGGGAGATCACCTACACTTTACAAAGAGTTGAGGAAAGAAAAGCCGATGCTAACCCCAGACATTACCATTATGTCTGTGGGTACTGAAATAACATATGGTAACGCAATGGAGCCAGACAATGGTTGGGAAGAATTTTTGAACCATAAATGGAACCGAAACATAGTAACTGAGGAGACTAGCAAATTCTCTGAATTGAAACTCCAGGTACAGTAATATGTTGACATTTGATTATACTCAAAAGTGATTTGGAAAATGAGATATTTAACTTAACCTAAAACATGGATTCCTTGGCGTTTTATTCATTTTATGGAACTGGTCTTTTTGTTTCGCTGCAGTCAGAAACAGAGCAACGTCCACACAAGGTTAGCTTTTATGTCCAGAAGGACAAGGCTGAAGAAGTAACAAAAGCTCTTTCTACTCGTTTAGCTGAACGTGGGGTATGATAAGCTTTTGCTTCGGTACTTTTTGTTGAGTTTAACAGCATTGTGATCATATACTGATGTGATTAGTATGTTTCGTTTCATTCTTGCTGCATCAAATGCAAACCTTTCTATGTCTATGTCATAATCAGAAGCTACTCTTATTTATGGTTCTAATGTATAGCACTGCTTTATGATCATCAGTTGGATGTCAAAATAATTTATAGTGGAGGGATGGACTTGGATATTTTGCCACAAGGTGCCGGCAAAGGTCAGGCTCTTGCATATTTGCTCAAGAAATTGAAAAGTGAGGATAAATTGCCCGTAAACACCCTTGCCTGTGGTGATTCTGGAAATGATGCTGAATTGTTTAGCATTCCAGATGTTCATGGTGTGATGGTGGGTGTTTCTCCTTCTCTTCATAGCACTATGTGGTTTTGTCTTTATTTAGACTCCGCACAATTGTGACTATTCTTTAAACTGTATTTTTTTCTTTAAACTGTAATTTTATTTTGAGTGATGAGGGAAACCCGTAGCCACTATCCGAGGGTGTGCACTGGGTAAACCTCGCCTTGTGACCCTAGCCGGCAAAAGACCACAATGAGGTAAACCAGCCTAGGTTGCCTATAGCTGACTGACTCAAACCAAGAAGGCCAATAGGTTGTCAAACTTGTAACCTTATGGTTACCAAGTCAATAGTCTGACCAACTTGGCTAGGGTTGCTCCCCTTTAAACTGTGATTTGATTAAAAGTTCATGGTTTTTCATTGGCAGGTTGCTAATGCTCAGGAGGAATTGTTAAAATGGCATGCTGCAAATGCCAAAGGCAATCCGAAAATAATTCATGCAACAGAGAGGTGTGCAGCGGGCATCATACAAGCCATTGGCCATTTCAACCTTGGTCCTAGTACGTCTCCGAGAGATGTCACAGACTTGCTAGATTCTAAGGAGAGCGTTGATCCTGCTTATGAAGTCGTGAAATTATTTTTGTTTTTCGAGAAATGGAGGCGCGGAGAAATTGAGAACTCGGAGGCTAACCTGGCAAAGATGAAAGATTTTTGTGTACGTTCTTTAACCTTTAACCTATTTGTATTTTGTTCATGCTTCTTATCTTCTGATTGTTAAGTCTTGCAGTGTCCATCTGGCGCTTTTATCCACCCATCGGGTGTTGAGAAATCTCTTCAGGACTGTATAAGTTCATTACGAACATGTTATGGAGACAAACAAGGGAAACAGTTTCGCATTTGGGTGGATCAAGTTATACCTGTGCAGGTTGGTTCGGGCTCGTGGTTAGTGAGGTTCAAGAGGTGGGAGCTCTCCGGTACGTGTTCTTTGCCTAACATACAAGATGGTATTTTGCTTTCCGTTTTCCTATATCAATATGAGACTACAAACAGATATAGCCTCGCAAGAATCGTTCTTTTTTTCCACCCACCTTCGGTTTCTGATGCAACGATGATTCTTGTAGGTGAAGAACAACAATGTCGCTTGACCACTGTTCTACTAAGTTCAAAGGTAGCGTCTTTAAACCGTAGCACCAGACAGATCCTAACATCTTATTTGATTTCGAGAATTTGCATTATTTTGATTCATTTTGTGTCTCACTCTCAGGATGTGAGTGTTTCTCAAGGTCTCAAATGGATGTATGTGCATCAGACATGGCTGGATGGAGCTGCAGCAGCAAAGGAGGACACTTCAACCTGCTTCTTCTAGACTGTAATCTCATCTCAAATTTCACTTTTCTTGTATTTCCTCCCTCAAAATAAGACACTATCACATCAAACTCTTCTTCTTCTTTTTTTCCTAGATAAATAAATTTAGTATATAGAAATACAATCAAAATTCTCCATCCTGGGGTTGGCTCTGATACCAAATTGAAGCATGTGCTTCATCTAATAAAAGTCTAAACTAATAATTAGATTGCACATTTATGCAACTATGGACAACCTGAGTTAGTTTACGTGTAAGTTTTAGTACACCTTTTTTTTTATTACAAAGGAAGGGGGATACCCATACAATCTATGCCTACACTGAGGCTCGAAACCTAGACCTCCCACATAGGGGAGCAATCCGATACCAGTGGACCACAAGCCACCGGTAGTTTTAGTACACCTTTGAGTAATGACTGCGAATTTTTTTCGTCACCAAAAAAAAAAAAAAAAATACTAGCTTAGCAATAGTTTTTTTTTTTTTTTTTTACAAAAAATTTATATACACAAAATTAAGAACTTAAAAAGATTGTGTTTTGTACATATAATAATATACAACAAGGGGAGTGTAACGCGATCACCCGCAACTATACCATATCCTAAAAAGTAGGTGACTAGTAGATGTACATAAATACCAAAATTGACCCTTTAACTAGGGTCATATATGTAATTAAATTAGACTAGAAAGACTAGTCAAGCACCTACAGCCACCATTGGATGAGAGTGAAAAGTCACATGTACCCATTGAGTCCCCTGGATTGTATAATCCCTTTGTAAAGAGCTTGCCAATTTTCAGGCATTGACTCGAACCTCTCATCGTCAACCCCTCGTGTCCGGCGGCGGCCGACCACCGGCGACACCACCACGTACTTCTTGTGGTGATGGTGGTAGTGGTGGTGATCCCCGGCGGCAGAATTGCTTTCCGATGGCGGCTTCTCCACTCCATTTGCAAACCTCACCTTCTTCTTTCCCTGCCCTTTTACCAACCCTACAACAAATTCATCTTAAATATAAACTGATAGTTCGACTGCATATTTATGTGTATCTATATTATATACATTGATCAGTTTCAAGCAACACGGAAACCATAGTCTTAGTTCTAATACCAAATTAAAGAATATAATATGTTTCGTCTCAACTGAAAATCATGGCAGAAAAGAGATCGAACATAAACATATATAAAACAGAAAAAAATGAAATTACCGAATTCGAATTCGATCTTCCTCATGAAATCAGACATGAGGTGTTTGTGGACTTTGAGGGCAAGAAGAACGACGCTTCCCGACACTGCAAAAACCGCCATGCAACCTGCGCTCAAAGAATTATCCATTTTTTTGTTCTTTGTTTTTTATGCTTCTTTTCAGAAAGATCAAAGGATGGGTGGTTTAAAAGAAACGTTAAAGATGAAGTCAGAGACCGGAAATGCGGAAGAAGAAGAAGGTGAAGAACAAAGAGAGAAGATGCATTCGAAGAAACCGAGGAATCTCGTGAAACAAACGGAAGATCGAATATATACTTTGTCTGATGACCCGACAGAAGATTCAAGAAACCCTTTATTTTTTTGCGTTTTCTCTTTAGAATTTGCCAAATGCCATTACTAAGAATGCATCTGGCATATCAGAATCTGCTATTTGCTTATGCATGCATTTATACATATATATATATATATATATATATATAAAGTCAATACATGTCTACGCTCCTCTCGTTTCTTTTCTTGCGAAATGTCATTAATGTCCTCCGATTACTGCATCTAGTAATGACTGTGAAGGGCAAAAGGGGGAGAGGAAGAATTGTGGATATTTTAAACCTGTCAAAAATGGAGAGCTGGAGTTTGTTGCATTGTTTGGTGAAGCGTACAAGTTTGGGTATGAGACATGTGTTTGGGTGTTAGTTATTCGTTTCTGTAACGACAGGAATAACTTAGTTAAGAATTGACAGGTCATTCTTAATTATTTAATTTACAAGAAAAGACGTGCAAGGAGTCAATAATGAAGTCCGCTTATTTGTCTATACATATTTTCTCAACTTACTGAAACACAAAGAATTAATATATATAGGCGTATGGTTACAATAGTTATGTTAATTGATCATAAGGTCTTTCTTAATTCATTTTTTCAAAAGGTTGAACCCCAACCCTAAGCCTCCTCCACACCCCGGTCCGACAGAACATCTGGGAGGATGTAAATCATGGTAACTCAACTGAATATGAATCACAGAGGCTAGACATTTGCTTACTGCGCACAAGGAGCACACTCACTTTGAGAGGTTGCTCCCACACTATCGCGGGTGAGACTCGATCCTGGTCTTTCTTAATTCATTAAAGATGGGTTAGTGGTTGAGGTTAGTTGCCCAGGTCATTCTTAATTCATTAAAGATGGGTGCATGATTTAACGTTGTAATTTGGTTGTTGATGAGGGTAGTGGAGTGATAAGTCAAAGTTGAGGAAATTATGTGGAAGTAACGTTTAAAGCTTCTTTTTTTTTTTTTTTTTTTTTTTTTTAACCGAAGTAACGTTTAAAGCTAGGATAGATGTTAGGGTCAAAAGATAAGAAATCGTGGATTGGTATAGGTAAGTGTAAATTATTGATTTAAAACGGGAAAAAGTTGATTAAATTGGTCATGATATAATCATTATATCCTGGATTTCGGTTTAAAATAACGTTTTTTCATAATGTACATAGACGATGCCTTTGTTCTTTTAGTGGTGTCATTTTTTTCGTGCAATCAATTACAATATTGTTACTACAAGTACATAATCTGTTAAGTGTTTCACATAATCGGTTAACTGGCAAAGTGGACACGGTTCCAGAACTGTTCATAATTGTAAATATAGAGTTCAAAAATTATGAATATAGAGTTCTGTAATTATGAATATAGAGTTCAATATTATTATTTTTTTGTTTAGAGTTCAAAAATAAGAACTTCAGGCTTCTATCATGACCCAAAATCAAGCATGGGAAGTATTTAGAATGTGTTTGGTTGGCAGGTTTAGCACTCGTGTGTGGATATGAAAGTAATTGTTATTGTTTGGTTGATTGATTTTTAAAATACTACTATGGGTTTGGAATACCCCAATAATGGAAAAACACATTCCCTTATTTTATAAGGGTTTCATACTTTCATCCCATTATTCATCATTAGCCTAATCATTCTCATTCTACCCTACTACCAAACATGCAAAATACTTTCACCAAAACACATTACCATTACCAAGTATTTGATACCCATTTCGATTCCGATTCTCATGTGCCAACCAAACACACTTTTAGTACGCCACGTGACAGGAGTCTGAGACCAAGCAAAAGAGACCTTGCATGTTATAAAGTCTTGGCAACGTAATCGAGTTAATAACAATTATATGCCAAACAACCTTAATATCAATGTTGGTTTTAGGATTTTTAGAAACTCACGGAGGTCCAAAACAATAAGTAGATTGGTGGATTCACCAGAAAACTAAAGGTGCAAAGATTTTTTTTTTTTTTTTTAAAGGCGGATTTGAAGTAGGAATAGAGCTCTTAAAATGCTTTGTATTTTTCCGACTTCTCTCGAAGATGTCCTCCGGAGTATGGGGGAGACCTATTTATAAGTTTAATTTTACAAAATCTTGAATTAGGCGAGTAAATGTGTATTAAAGGCGCCATTTAAGGTCATAACTGTTGGTCTTGTCGTTATTGGACTTCGCGAACGTTAGGGTTGACTGTCATTGATGGCGGGTAATTAGTGGGCAATCGTTATACCCTACACCACGGCGCACATAGCACTGTGCGCCGTGCGCCGCGCGCCTCCTAAAACGACGTCGTTTTGGGAGGCGCGGTAGGAAGTTGCTGGGATTATGTGTATTTGTTCACACAGTTATGTGTATTTGTTCATACAGTTATGTGTATTGGTTCATACAGTTATGTACATTTTTTATACAATTATGTACATTCTTTTTATACAATTATGTACATCCGAATCAGAAAATTTGTGTGTATTATGTTAATAGTTTATGTTTATTATGTATTATGTTAGATTATGTGTATTATCTTTTAAAAAGAGTATGTGTATTTTGTTATATAATTATGTACATTCATGTATACAATTATGTGTATTCTAGTATAACATTATGTACATTCTTGAACAGCGAGTTTTTTTTAAAGAAAAAACTACTGTCATTCACTGGGGCGGGAAATTTAAAAAAAAAAAAAAAATAAATTAAAACGACATCGTTTTGCATCTGAGCGCATAGTGCAACGCGCGCCGTGATGTAGGATATAAATTGCCAATTAGTGGGCAACGATCCCAATCGTTATGCGTTGGACCCGTGTCCAGCATGCTTGCTGGACACGGGTAACAGTGCCGTTAGGCACTGTTATCTCATTTTATTTATTTATTTTTTAAAAAAAAAAAAAAATTCAGACCGCTTCATTGTAATAGTATATGTTCATAATTTTATTACTATATGTTAATAACTATACATTCATAACTCCATAACTGTACGTTCATAACTCTATAACTGTACATTCATAACTCCATAACTGTACATTCATAACTCCATAATTGTACATTCATAATTTTCGAAGCTCTATGTTCACAATTTTAGAGCTCTATGTTCATAATTTTATCACTATATGTTCATAATTGTAAGTTCATAATGTTAGAACTCTTTGTTCATAATTCGATCAATAACTGTACATTCATAATTTCCATACTGTAGATTCATAATCTCATAACTGTAGATTCATAACTCCATAACTGTAGATTCATAACTCTATAACTGTACATTCATAACTTCATAACTGTACATTCATAATCTTCGAAGCTCTATATTCACAATTTTAAAGCTCCATGGTCATAATTTTATCACTATATATGTTCATAATTGTAAGTTCATAATGTTAGAGCTCTGTGTTCATAATTTCATAATTGTATAACTGTATATTCATAACGGCATAACTGTACATTCATAACGGCATAACTGTACATTCATAATCAAAAAAAAAAAAATAACGCCGTTAACGGCAAAACGCGCGCGAATTTTTTTTTTTTTTTAACTAAATGACGCGTTTTTTTAAAAAAACGACGTCGTTTTGGGCCCGTGTCCACAATTCAATGTGGACACGGGTCCAGGACATAATTTGCCCAACGATCCCAACACTTCGATCGATCCTCAAACGCACCGACCCTTGTTCGGGCCGACTGTCTAGACTCAGTCTTCTTCCAGCCGAGTCCTTGAATCAGGCCCACCTTCTTATCGGACTACTTGTTCCTTTAAGTTTTGCGCTTTAGCCTCTTGACCCATTATCCCAAAGCATGTTTTTCTTATTCATATGATCATATCCCTTGTTTTTGGGCCCCCTAGCCCATCAGGATCCACACCCCAACAATCATAAATAGTGAACATTAATGAGTAATTATCATGTCATCGAAGTGATCGAAACGCATACATATAAGTAGAAAAAAATCGTAATCACAACATATAACACATCTTAGGTTACTTAAGTATTGTAGCCACTCTTAACAATTGTGGGGAATCTCAATGATAATACAGGCACTCATGATTGGTTGCGCCTATGGAAATTAAAAGTACCCCCCAAATGGAAAACATTCTTGTGGAAGGCTCTCAGTGGTATTCTCCCAACTACAACAAATTTGATTATAAGGAGGGTGGAAATACAACCAACATGTGCTATGTGTGGAATAATGGATGAGGACACAATGCATGCTTTAGTAACATGTGGTTATGCAAGTTCCATTTGGGCTCAATCTCACCTTCCAATCCCCATGATAGCAACAAATATTTTTCATACTTGGTTTAGTGATCTATTAAATATTTTAGACACTAACCAAATTGTTCACGCAGCTGCTATTTTATATCATATTTGGAGAGCTAGAAACGGAGCGGTATGGGATGCATGTCTACCGCGACCACGAAAAGTGCTAGCTACGGCCGAAGCCACCGCACTTGCATGGCAAAAAGTCCACCACAACCGCCCACAAACGGACTGCCGAGCAGCCGCACAAGGCCATGCTACCGCCACTGCCGTGGCACGGCAGCAACAACAGCATATCACGGTCAATACCGTGACTGCCATGGGCGCTGCCGAGGAGGGTACGCAGATGGAGCCTACCGAACCGAGACGGAGATGCTTTGTAGATGCCGGATTTATACCGGCTACAGGGAAGGCTACGGTAGGCGCGATCTTGATCAGCGAGGAAGGGGGATATGTATCGGCATTCAACGCACCATTGTCGGATTGTCTCTCACTGCTTATGGCTGAGACAATAGCATGTAAGGAAGCCTTATCCTGGTTATGGAATCGTGGGGAACGATCGGTACACATACTCACAGATTGTTTGACCCTACAACAGTATTTGACAGACCAGACTATCACAATTCGGACTTACGTTGGCTATGCCATTGATGCTTGTAGAGCATGCATTAGTTCTTTCGATTATTGTTCAGTTAATTTTATTCCTAGATCAGAGAACTATTTAGCTCATACTTTAGCGGCTTCTGCATTTAATTCTTCTACGATTATGTATTCGGACGATGTCCCTCCAGACTCTATTTCTGAGTACTTCTAATATATGCCTTATTGGCCACCTTTCAAAAAAAAAGGTTACTTAAGTATTTTTTGTGATCTACCATGATCAATCAAAATCCA